GAACATCTTTGTGTACCTTAATGTATTTTTTGAGTTTGTTCGGACTACTTATCAGCTTCAATTCAAATTGAGATGTGTCGTTAGAAACCATATAAGCAAAAGCATTTATTAAACATACTTGTTTGTACTTAATAAAAGCATTTATTAAACATACTTGTTTATACTTAATATGAAGACATAAGGTTGTATCGTTACGTTTATAATCATTTGTGCCTTGTAGTAATAGAGTAAAAGATATTAAATGCAGATTAGTCACTCTTTCCAGACATTATATTTACCTAGATAATCAAGTATCCTAATGGCAGTGTAAAAGTTTCTATGTTCGAGAGTCCAGAAGTGTCCTTGTTGACGTCGAAAATGTACAAATAGATGGCTATGGTTCTTAGATATTATGCATGTTGAAAATAAGACTTATAGTTTATATTTAACAGTCTACACAATATAACGTCTCCGAACAAAATTTGATTTAATTTTTTGGTAAAACTTAATTTTATTAATTCTTTGCCCTACTTTTCTCTTACAAATTAAAAAAATTAAGTTTTGTACGAACGACGTACCACGACTCTCACCTGTGATATTCATGTTTGGCCCGATTTCCTTACCACAAGTCTCATATGATAGGCAAAAGTGTTAATTATATTTTATGGGAAGGAGATCCAGCTAGCCTAATCTAATCCTGCAATTTCAACTTACTGAAGACAGCCATATTCCTGGTTGGACACATGCGCATTAAAAATTGGAGACCACAAAAAGTGTGTTTAATGTCCATACTGTATGTACTTATACCACAATATATACAATAGCGCAACTCTCTGTCGGCACCTTTGTTAATTGACCAAAATGGAGTGCGCATGCATGAAATAAGTAAATTACCTAACATTGCCACAGTTACCACCTAAACTTCTTTTTCTTTTCATCCTTTTTTGACTCTGTCAAAATTCCTCGCAAAACTCATTAGATTTATTCGCATTGTAATCCAACAAATTCGTTGAAGTGAGTAAATGCTTTGTAGGAACATATTAGAGCATATTAGAGCATGCGATGCGAATAAACCTAACATTGTGATAAAATAATTTAAACTTTATGAAAATTAATAAAAATAATTTGTAAATATATTGAAAAATAAAGAAAAAATATTAAAAAATTACGAAAA